CCCTGGAGATACCAGACTGTCACAAAGACCCCCTGGGCTCGTGATATGACCGTGGTGGAACGACCTTTGTCTGGGGTGACGTAGCCCACAGAAGACCCCTTTGCCTGTGTCAAGGGGCCGAGGGGGATACCCACTCGTGAGTGCTGGCAGAGATCCAGCTATGAGCTGCTACAAGAAAAGAAGAGAGAGAGCCTGCTGCCTTAGAGACATTGCTGCTCTGAAGAAGGGATCTGTCCTTCTTCCCTCCCGGACTTTTATTTGGAGGGGAGAAGAGATCTGATCCATTGTAAATACTTATGTCATGGTAGAGATAGCTAAGGTTGTATATAATGTATTGTAGTATTTATTTGTACAGTCATTGTAATATATTCCGTTTCCCCATTTTGAGTCCGTGTGATTGTCTGGAAAACACATCTTACACCAGGCTGAGATGTGGGAGGGGGAATGGAGCTAGGGAACTAGATTTTGGGGTATCTCAAACCATGACACCCCCGTACATGGTTGGTCCTCCTGGCTGCAAGGGAATAGCTCAAATACACTGTTGAGTCAAATGGTATTGCTGTCTATAATCTCTTATCTGAATATCTATATGAATCTATAAATACTTAGACTTGTGGGTTTGTGTGATAATTTGATATAGTGACTACCACAGTTGCATGTATTTTGCTGTAAGGGACAATATAGGCTGAGAGAATTGGGATTTTCAACCTGGAGAAGAGAAGACTTAGGGGTGACCTAATTTTACATTCCAGTACCTGAAGAGAACATGCAAAAAGACAGAGAGGGACTATTTATAAGAGCATATTACTATATGGACGAGTGGGAATGACTTCAAATTGAAAGAGAGTAGGTTTAGACTAGATACTAGGAAAAACATTCTTTACTGTGAGTGTGGTGAGGCACTGGAAGAGGTTGCCAAGAGAAGTCATGGATTGCCCATCCCTGGAGGTGTCCAAGGCAATGTTAGATGGGGTTCTCTCAACCTGGTCTAGTGGAAGGTGTCCTTGCCCATGGCAAGGGAGTTGTAACTGGATGACTTTCGAGGTCATCCTTGAAACCCTTCCAACCCAAACCATTCTATGATTCTATGATATGAGTTGTTCCTTTTTCATCTGTATTAAACTGGGACGTGAAAAGTTTGAACATCTATTCTTCCCCCACTCCTGGTTAAAATCCCAGTTCTTCCCTTACTAGTCTAATTATTAGCAAATTGCTAATAATAATTGCAGAATAAGTAGAAAAAGGGCTAAGACTGTTGCAGTATGAAAGCTTGCTTGTCAAACATACACTTTAGTCAACAAGGATTGCTCGAGAAGCCAAACTAAATGCTTGTTTAATGTAATGAGTTAACTGGGGAGAACACTGTCTTTTAGGAAAAGGCACTCTGGCATTTTCTACAGGCCACAGCTCCTCTCTCAGCAAATATTACCAAAACTATTGCCAAAACCAGAAGAGGGACAGACAAACTGAGCACTCTTCCCCAGTAGAGCCAAAACCTTAAGATTACTATTCCTGCTTCAAGCAGGAGAATGCTTATTCAATGACTTGAGGTCACTCAAGAAGGTGGAACTCTGGATTACTTTACTAGAGGTTTCAAGATACTATCCCCAGAGATACTTTTGTCTTGACATTCTTTACTTGATATATTTACTGTGGAAAAGAAATTGTTATGACTATTCAGCAATGACATTTTTTGTTTACCTCAACTGCAGTGTATGTTTTTAAACACACCTAGCAGCCTTAACTCACAGTGACCAAAAAAAGAACATGCATTACAACAGTGTGCAGCAAAAGATGTGTTCATAGATATCAGGTTGCATGAGGAGTCCCTAGTCAGTGGAAATACAGAATCTGAACTTGAAGATTATGCCCATTGGAACATCTATTTCAAGCAGTTCCAGGTACTTTTGCAATAGTAGGTCAATGTCAAGAGTTGAAAGATATTTCTGGGTCTGCTTTTTCTGGTCTGCTGAAAGCCTGACTTTGTAACAGATTTTCAAAAGAATTTACAGAAACTACATGAGTAAACAAACAATTATAAATGTGTTTTATACATTTAAATGTATTTTATACATTTATACATATAAATGTGTTTTATACATTTATACATGTGATAACAATTATAAATGTTATCACATTATTCTTACTGATGTCACCTCTAAATCTGGCTTCATTTTTTATTTCCTCTATAAACTGTGTTTTTAGTATGCCCTGTAAGTAGACATTTAGCAAGAAGAGTTATGTACTAAAGTTTTTGGTAATTCCTTGAGGTTGTGTATAAATGATAAAGGAAAACATGATAAAGGAAATCCAGATTCACATCTGCCAATATGAGTTTGTCTCCCTCTTCTGATGAAATATGTCTTTGGCCAGCAAAAATATGTATTTTGCAATCTACTCGAAGAACAAGTCCTTATCTTAATTGAAATATCCAAAATTCCTATTCTGAAAATCATTTCCTATTTGGATAAAAATAATGGCATTGTTATGGGACCATTGTCATGAACTGGTATTTTGTTGACTGAATAGTAAAATGAAACTCATTGAATTCTTTATTTGAAATAAAACTCATTTACTGTTACCCCATTCTTAGAGACAAGATTCTACACATATCAGTCACAGCTACTGTGAATGTAACAGCTACTGGACAATAAACAACCCTCAGTTAATACTTTTCCAAAGTAATCCCTGTACTGTTTAGCATATAGAAGAATAAGTATTAATGGTTCACCTTGTGTTACAAGTCATCTAAATCACACTGGGTTTCCTTTGGTAGACTGAAACTTTTACGAACAAGACCACAACAGACAGATGATGTGGGTATTCAGAGAAATACTTATTGTGCTAGGATTCAAGTACTTCCATTGTTGTCTAGACTTTCACAAATAAAGAGTAACATGACTGAACAAATCAAATAATTTTATTCTAAGATCTATTATTGTTCAGAGAAATCTTGACAGGTTTATTTTTAATCCATGGGACTAAAGGTGTAGAAAGTAAGGAGATTCTACTAATTTGAGAACAGAGAAAAGAATGGCCACTAATGCCAAATTTCAAATGAGAAGACAAGGTCACCTCAGCTCCTAAGCTCACATGTGCATGCAGACTTTGCTTTGAACCTGTCTTACAAATCCTCTTTCCATGACTCAATTCTGTGCAAAGAAATTAGGTTGTGGAGGGTAAAATGAAGCTCCAGTGTGGCTTGGCAAGCTCACCACCTGGGTGCATGCTCAGGATGGTTCAATACCACGTCCTGCAGCTTGGACTGAGGAAGTTTACCTGCTTCATCTATATATTTAGAGTGCACATGCAGAAGACCTTGTGTGGAGGTACATTTGTCTCACATGACTTCTCACACGACTTCTTTTTTGTCGTCAGCATGGCTAGCAAAGGGAAATTATTTTGCTTTTTCCCCTCCAGTACAATTTTGGAAGTTACCACAATTGAATGCAAAATCCTATCTGCCTGAGAGAAGGTAAGGAGGACTTTCAGAATTTGACCAAGAATTTAACCAAGAATACAACCCTTACTGCAAGGATTCTGTTCCACGATCTTTCTCATGCTGCCTTTACCTCTGTCAAACAACTTGTGAACAAGAATTTTCCAACAGGCCATGATCCACAGGACACTCCATACTGAGGGTGTAAAAAAAAATAACAAAGCTAAAAAAAGATAGGCAAAGGTCACTGTGTTCATACATCTTCTAAGATGACATTTAGAACAACTAATACAGTCTGAAAAAAATTGTGTAGGACTTTTTAATGAATTCAAGATTGGTCCTGAAACACTTGAGATTTTGCTGTCAACAGAAACCAAATATTTCTGGGCTATATTTTTGCACTGGTATGTTGGGAACTGAGTTAAACAAGAGAAACTAACATTATTGTGGAGGTTTATTTTATTTATCATTTACTATTTAAGTTTTGGTACATTTTTCAAGCAGGCATTTCTTTCTCTTTTTGCCTCTGAAATTTTTGCTAGGTGCCTAAGTAAGTGCAAAGGATTAAAAAAAAAAAGTACTGACATGCACCACCTTGCACCAACTACTTTGCCAACAGAAGTTTTTGGACAGTAACCTTTAGAAGGGAAAAACTGTAAGAAGTACGAGAGGTGTCCCTACCAGCAGCTGGGGGGTTGGAACTGGATGATCTTTAAGGGCCCTTCCAACCCAAACCTTTCTATGATTCAATCTACGACAGTGTTAGAATATCATATACCACTGCAGCTGGATGTGAAAAAAACCTTGTGGCTAGAGAAATTGGGATTAAACAAAATGGAAACTCTGAACATAGTTTGTGACATTTTTAATATTGTTT